CGGGCAGGGGTGGGGGACGGGTCACCCGTGTCCCCGTGGACCTCACGCGGGCAGGGGTGGGGGACGGGTCACCCGTGTCCCCGTGGCGGCCGTCGTTCAGACCTGGGTGGTAAGAGGCAGACGGCCCAGCATTGTCCGGACAGCGGGGCGGACCGAGGACCAGAGCAGAGCGCTGTGGCCAGCAGCTGCCACTACGCGCCCGCTCGGGTCGTCAGCTCGCGGGTGAACCCGTGAGGCAACGGGTTACGCTGGCGCTGGGACGTTTAACGTGACGGGGACTCCGGGACGTGTGAAAACAGCACTTTCACTGTCCCTGCCTCTGGAGGTTCCTCCCGAGAGATGGGCCAGCCTCCCCTGACACCTGGCGCCTGACTCCTATCGGTTTCGGAAACGTCTGGGGGTGCGGGAAGACGGGCAGGAGGCGGGGACGGTGGCGGAGGCCTGAGGGCCGGCGGGACGGACGGCGGTGCGGGAGGGCTCCACGCGACTTCCCCGGAGCGCGGGCCTGCAGCCAGGGAGCGCCGGCGTGGGCAGACATGAGTGGGCTGGGCGGGGAGGGCGCGGGGAGGACGCTCACCTTTTCATTAGCTGGATGAAAACTCTTCTGGGCAGCCGGCACACGAAGGTGTCCAGGACAACCTTCAGGTAGTTCAGAGACACGCAGCCGCGCCGCGAGGGGTCCCCCGCGCCCAGCGCCTTTTCCACCTTATCGTAGCACCTGGAAAGCTGCAACGGACAGAGCGAGCGTGTCGCTGTCACGACAGTGGGCGTCCCGGGGCAAGCGAGCGTTTCATTTCTACCAAACCTCGTCACAGTCTCCTCTCCAAGAACTGATCAAAGGGGACCGTGGCTCGCACCGAGCGTCCCACGGTGCGTGGATGAAGCCGCCGCCCCGCCCCGCCCCGCCCCCGCCCGCCGCTGGCGAGGCAGCCAGGGTCCCCCGGAAACGCGGCACAGATGATAGCTGCACCTCGGGCTTCGGGCTAAAGTCCTGGGAGGCGCTGCCAGCTTGATACATCTTTCCCAATATGCTTGCAAGTCATCCCTACTGTGAGCCCGACGAGGAAGTCAGGTTCATCAAACAAAAAAGCTGGCAACGTTTTATTAAAAATAGAAGTTGTTTTGCCGTGAGAAAAATGATCAACATAAGGACAGCACAGACAGAGCGCCCATCGGGCTTTCTTTAATTATCTTTTTTTGGAGTGGGGAGTCACAGGGAGCCCGGGTGGCTCTGTTAGGGGGCTTCTAGAATGCCATAAAGTAGGGTAACCACTCATTTCTATACGACTCATAAAAAGATGATGAAGGCTGGCTTTCCTCCCCAGGGTTCTCCCGCTGTTTGCTGCTGAGTAATAACCCTGTTCTCCGGCACTTCCGAGCCGCTCCCTCTGCGCTGCGTTCCCTGCTCGCTGGGACACGAGGAGAAGCAAAACGAGCAGCAGCTGCGTGTGGCAGGCAGTGGCCGCGAAGCTGCAGGAAGGTGCAGGCCGGCGGCGCGAGGAAGACTGGGCCTCGGAGGGGAAGCTCCTCACATACTTAGAGGTCACAGGGCTTCCGCTTCGTAGAAAGTTGCGGTGACATTAACCCCAAACGGGCGTCTCCCCGGGGAGGTGGCCCGGGGCGGCCAGCAGGGACGGAGCGGAGCGGGCGCGCTGCCCAGGCAGGGCCTTCACTGCTGAGCGCAGCTCACGCTCGCCATCCCCGCGACTTCTGGTCTCCAGCCAGGTTGGTTTCCTTTGGTTTCTCCAGAAACATTGTGTAGAAAAGGAGGGAGGAGTGAAAGCGGAGCAGGTCTGGCCCCCTGCACCGCCTTTCAGTTCTCCAGGTGCCCGGAGTGAACGGGAAGCGCCTGGAGCCGGGCGCCAGGCGTGGCAAGGGCAGGATGCTGGAAGCCTCCCTGGCGGCTTCTCGCCCGCGTCCAGCACGATCACATGCACAGGCAGAGCGGCCGGAGGAGTCCCGCCGGTGACGCACGCGTGTCGGTAAACCCCAGTCGCGAGAAGGCGCCCCGAGGGCCGCCTGTGGCCGCGTCGCACTTCTAAGCGACAGGCGAGCGGAGAGGCTCAGTCACCGGGAGGCCGCGGGCGAGAGGCAAAACTTTCACCCTTACAAAGGCGCCCATCTCCGGTCTCGCCGAGGTCCCGGGCCGGGCGCTCCCACAGCCCTGTCCTTTTCCGCAAGACACCCAAGGGAACTCGTGCTTCCAAGCGGTCTGCTTAAGGCTGCCCGCTGACAGAGGCCACACAGCCCCCAGGAGGGCAGAGGTGCCTGTTTCCTGCACTGATGACCACCTGGAGCGAAGCCCAACAGCTTGGCGGACGGCAGGCAGCCCAATGTGAGCAGCTACTCACCCCGTCCCTAAGGAAAGAAGTGAAGGTCGAGGCCGGCGGGGCGGCCCTGGGTCTGCCTCCCACTGCCCGCCCGTCCCTACTGGGTGCTGGTCCCCACTGCAGGGACCTCGCTTGCTGCGGGGGCCGCACGCCGCCGTTTTGACGCACTGCTCCATGCGGGGGGCCCCGCCCAGCAGAGGAACCCCGGCGCCAGCACACGGCAGGGGCCTCTGCACGTGCCCCCGGGAGGCACCGGCTGTGCGCGGTCAGACGACGGAGGGCCTGGGCCGCGCCAGGTCCCAGCCACAGCAGGGGCGAGCCTCAGCCTCGGCGCCGACGGAGGAAAGAAACGGCTGTGCAATGATGCAAACAGGTTCCGGAAAGAAAGATGCAAACCAAGAAATATGAAGGAAGCGACAAGAATCCTGTTGGGAAACAATATAAAATACGTATAAACACGCACCTGCAAGGAGGCGGCCGTAAAGAGGCGCTGAGCGGGAGCGCGACGCTGACGGAAAGCAGAAAGACGAGACAATGACACCACGAAGGAGCTGAGAAGGGATACTTCCGAGCGAAGTCACAGACAGCACCCTCTGAAAGCTGATAAACAGATCAGAACCGCAGGAGCAGGAGCCGAGGCTGCAATGAAAGCGACTGCAGATGGCGGGCTGAGGGCGCCCGAGGCCGAGGGACGTGTGGAGGCCCAGAGCAGCTGCGCCGGGCTGGCGAGGCGGCCAGGCT